AGCAGAAGGCAGATGTGAGTGAGAATGTGTTCCTTTCATAAGCATCTCCGAATGAGATGATGAAGCTCGCTTACGTTGAATTTCTCAAAAGTACGACAAAGGAGCTTGCGCGCGATTCTTCCTCTGATTTAACTTCTCGTAATGAGTTTGAGCAAGAGAGTGTTTTCCATTCAGTAAAATCACGCGTGAGCACGGTATGCTAATCTTTTTTCATCAGTTCTCTTCAGGTAAGGGGTCTCTCCGACGCCAACAAGTATGGATGCGACGCCGTACTAGATGGAAATATCATGAAAGTCATGTGCCTTTACGAACTGATTAACCATGCTACACATATGGCTTCACGAACACAGTTCCCATAAACATTTTATCTAGACTATCTTAAGCGCACGAAAATAAGATGTAAAATTCATGGTTTGTCCTTTTGCATTCAAACTGGGTGTTTTTGTATGCGTTCAAAAGCGCTTCAAACTTCTACAAAAACGTTGTTCCAGCTGCAAATTAGATATGGAGTACAAACCTCGCGCTTCTTCTCCAATTCCTGCTCTCTACCTCACCTTCTACAGTTGCTTTTTATTAGAAATTGATGCACAAATCCTGATAGCAGGGTCAATACAAATAGACTTTCGAGTAGAAATCGTATTTACACTCTCACTTCACGAACATTTGTTGAAAATAGGCCAGATGTTACGCAGCGTGTGCAGAAGGACCACTAGTGCAAACATTGGTCAGTCTCGACGGATTTCCTGTCGAGATGACCAGTGAGTTGTTCGACACTTGTGCTGTTTTGTGGCTATAGCGAATTCACCAACGCGGAGCGCGATGAAGCGTGTGACTCTGTATTGAGCCATCCCTTTGAGAAATGTCTTGGATTTTATTCAAACAATGTATCAGAACGATGTCGTCAGCAAAGATGATGCAGTTGCGATCGTCAATCCAACAAGCACGGGTACTGGCCAATGCTGTCCACGTACGCACCACAAGCCTCCGGGGCGGAAAAGGATGAGTTCTACCTGACCCTGGACGAGGCCATAAGATCGGTTCCGGAAGAGGACTACCTCACCATAGCTGGGGATCTGAATGGCCATGTTGGGAGGGACAGAAGGGGTCTAGAAAGGGTGCACGGAGGTCAAGGAATAGGGACAAAGAACGCTGAGGGAGAACGGATCCTTGACCTAGCACGACGTAGCAACCTTCTTCGCGAAAAGGAGGACTCAAAAGGTAACCTACAGCAGTGGATGGAGACTCGACCATGACCTAG